TTCCTCTGTTCTTCCTGGGCAAGAGAAAGATGGAACTTCTAGGTCCCCTTGTGGTTGGACAAGTCCTTGCAGCTGGATCTGCACAAGGAGTTGTGAGAAGTAGCAGGTGCCCTTCACGGGCCACCATCTTTACTTTCCGGTGCAGAGCTCTTTCTACTCTATTGCTGCAGTCATAAAAGTGTAGTCGAGAGGTAACCTCTGCTCATCTGGATCCCTGAGTAACTTTGAGCAAACTTCCTGTCTGCGTCCCATGTTGCACATGCAAGATGAGTGGAACAGAAACGGACACAGAAGCAAACAGACCTGGGCTTTTTTGTTGTGCAGCATTACTTTACTTCACCTGACTGATCTTGAAGAAAGTTGTGATAGAAATTCTTTATGCAGGACCTAGAGTGTAGACGTCATGTGACCACTGCTCTTTCTTTCCTCAATATTCAATGTGTGTTTATTAAATTGTGACCTAAGGGGCTGGGGATTTAGCTCAGTGGCAAAAGCGCCTGCCTGGCAAGCGCAAGGTTGTGAGTTCAGTTCCCGGTACCGGAGAAAAACCAAAAAAAAAAAAAAAAAATTGTGACCTTGTGCATGCTAGGTGAGCACTTTATCACTGAGCTCTGCCCTTGGTCCCTCCTTCCCCGGTACTTTAATGTAGTACTTTAACATTACATTATAAGGATGTATTACTCTGTTTCTATTTCTTGCTAGAACTTCGGTGCCACAAATGTTCAGACTGTGATTTGTTGGTCTTTGCATTCTCAAATAGCACCTGACAATTTGGTGCTTGTGTTGGCTTCTGGTTACTGTAATGAGTATCTGAGACAAGCAAATTTATAAAGAAGACAGGTTTATTTTGACTTACGGTTTTGGAGGTTTCAGCTCGTGGTTAATGGTCCCCTTTGGTTTTGGCATCATGGTGGAAATGCATTATGGAGCCAAACTAGGACACAGGAGAGAGTGACAGGGGTGGGTGGAGTTGTCACTCTGTCCCCACCCACCCCAGGGCACATCCCCAGGAACTAAATGATCGCCCATGAGACCCTTCCATGTAAAGTTTCCACCACCTTGCAAAAGCACCACGGGCTGGGACCAAGCCTTAAAACCTGGGCCTTTGGGAGACACTGTCAACCCAAAAGGTAGCAGTGGTTTTAATAAATGTTTACTGAAGGGACAGTCAAGTGCTTGTTAAAGCAGAGCTCTGCCATCTGAGCACATTTAAAATTTTTGGAGTCTCAGATTTTTTTTAATCTGTAAATTGGAGAAAAAAATTTCCTCATGAAATTGTAAGGAAGGAAAAAAATCATGGCGATGTGTGCTGCAGTCTGAATGTGTCCCCCCAAAATTCCTGTTTTAGAGACTTCATCCCCAAAGCGATAGCGCTGGAGGTGGGGCCTTTGGGAGGGCATTTGGGCCAGTTATTTATTAAATAAAAATACAGTAATCTACAATGGTATTTAAGTTAGAAAATTAAGCTGATCTATAAAGAAAAATCAAGATAATTTTTTGCATAGATCTGTTCATTATATTAAGTACATAGTTTAATATAATTACACTGCAAAATTTCCACCACATCTTTTTTTTTTTTTTTTTTGAGACAGGGTCCCCCTATGTAGTCCAGACTGGCCTTGAATTCACTTTGTAGCCCAGTTGGCCTGGAACTCCCAGTGATTCTCCTGCCTCAGCCTCCTGAGTGCTGGGATTACAGGTGTGCGCCACCATGCCTGGCTTCTGCAACATTTTACAGCTAAAAAAATATGTTTATGGGAACCACAGCTGGCGTGCAAGTGCTGTCTCTACTCCAGGCCGTCTGGTGGATCAACACAATTGAAGACAGCAGCATTTCTGCCGCACGGCCTCTTACACGCACATTCTACTAAGCTGATGCAGCGGTGCAGACCATAATAAATTATGATAGCTAGCTGAGGTAAAGGAAATACTAATAATCATATTGGCAGTCATAATTTTAAAAGGATTCATTACAAATGTAGCAAAGTGTGCCTTCAGAAAAAGATGAGTTAACATTTTAGAGCATAATAAAGTACAGATGTAGTACTCCTATTTCTTTTTTTTTTTTTTTTTTTT